TTTATGATAGGGTAGAAAATGTAGTAAGATAGGAAGAAACATTTCTGATGTCCTTACATATCATACTATCATGACTGCAGTTAATAATAAGTTAGTGTAGATTTCAAAATAACTTGAAAAAGCATTTTGAATGTTCTATGACATAATTCATAATACTGGAGATGATAGATCTCCAAATGACCCTGTGTAAATCATTGCCTATTTAAAATATATTAAAACATACTATTCCCCATAAATACATACAAGTGTGTGACCCTTAAAAATAATAATATATAATAAAATAATAAAATGATATAATAATATAATAAAATAATAATAACCTACGTAATTTAGGAGACATTACATTGATATTACTTTTCTATTTCTGTGAAACAGATTACCCAATATTATGTGTCTTAGCACAGCAATCAATTGTTATACTTCTAATAAACAGATGGGAATTTCACACAGCCTTCTGCTGATTTTTTCTGGTCATGGTTTCACATTGCCCAAATCACACCATTGGTCTGACTGAGTTCTCACCTGGAGCTCAGGAGCCTCCTCCAGGCTCGTTCAGGTCATGAGCAGAATTCGTTCACTTGTGTTGATGGGACTGAGGTCCTGTTGTCTTTCTGGGTGTTGTTCAGGCTCTTTTTCAGCACTAAGTACTGTCCTCACCTTCTTGCCATATGGGCCTCTCACAACATGGCACCTTAGTTTTTAAAGCCCAGCAGAACAATAATGATTTTCAAGATCTCACTCAAGGATATTTCTGGAACTTTCCTACCTCTGACACACTACATTTCCATATTTACTGCCTCCAGACTTTTCCTCTACTTTTGGAAATCTTAGACATATCTTCCCTTTGCTATCACTCATTATTCATCCTGAGCTATTATACCATCATTTCTCACTGATGTCTAAATCTATCTATCCTACCAAATCATTTATGTATTCATAGACTCAAGAAATGTCTACTGAACACCTGATAAACTACAGAACTGTAGTCTTCACATTCATGGCTTTTCCATTTTTTTGTACACTACGTATTTCTGACCCTCTAAAATTCCTATGTGGGGATCCTAATTCCTAATGGGCCCAACAGTACTGATGGGCCCATCCTGAATCCTATTTGTGTGAATGTATAAAGAGGTTTACATCAGTTCAGAACACAAATTATATACCAAGTAAATGAGAAAAATCTCATTAGTTGCTAATATCCAGGTAATATGTATGTAATGATATAAATATATGTCTTTGAATGTTCTAACTACTTATAAATGCATGACTGAATAATGACACTTGTTTATCTACTTTGGAAAATAATAAAGCAAGGATTGCAGTACTAATGCTTTTATACCAAGGGATCGTGAGTCAGCCCATTGATGAAGAAAAGTGAGTCAGGATTTTTGGAGATATTAGGGAGGTGTTCTCAAAACTAGACAAGGTGTTGTGGAGCCAAGGGACCTGATAAAGACAGACTCATCAGTCTTAGACTTCTGGAAAATCTTAATTGAGAATTGCAATATGGTTTCAGGGGTGTAGAATTCTGGAAGGAAGAGGAAATGATGGAGGATTTTTCTGACATTTAACCAGGTGTCTTGGGAACTGAGAACCAGCAGAGAAATTTTTCTCCTGTGATGTGCAATGTCCCATAGGAAATGACATACTCAGGACTGGAAATAGAAGAGGGAAGTTTGCCTATTCAGCAGACACACAGAGCTGAAAATACCGCACCTGGCATTGTTTTGGCATGTACAGCCATCGTCTAGCAGGGGCGTAGTCCTTCCATTAGAGTCCTCATATTTATTGGGGACTAATATTTGATACATTCTTGTGGTTATGTATGGCTACATAGCTTCAGTCTCCATTGTCAACCACCCAAAAAGGAAATTGACTTGCACATATAGACCTTCCATTCAGGAGAATAATCCAGGTGAGTCTGAGAGCTCATTAGTGGCTTCAGATGACCTTCTGTGATATGGAAGCCAAGAACATTTAGCTAAGGTAACCCCTGAGCCAGCCCAGACTCTCTTAGAGCTGAGAAGTGGCTGTGGCTACTTACTTGTTAGTTGCAATAATTCATTGATGTGTTTATTTACCATGCTGGAAAAGGAAGTGAACATTGAACTCAGTAATGCAGATTCATTGATGAAAATGAATTGATGGCTTTGGAAGTACGGTTAGAAAGGAAATTTTGACACTTAAAATGGCTCAATGTAAGTAGAACATGTGTCCAAGCACAATTGTATTTAATCAGGTGGAAAAGATAAACTGCATTTCTAGTGGAGGGATGTGCATGACATGAGGGTGGTTTTTTTTTATTTAGGAAGTGCAGTGCTGTGTTTATTTGATTATGTGTATCCTACACCCATTTCCCAAACTTCTCATAATTTCTGTAGAATCCTATTTACTATGTCTGTTTTTGCTTGTAGAGTGACATTTTACTTATAAAAAATTTCAACAGTATTTAGTAAAATATGTCTATGTTTTTTTATCTGAGTTTCTACTCTTAATCAAGATAAGTTTGCCCACCCACAAACATCATATGTAGTTTTCTTGATGTCCTTCTAAAATACATGGTTTACTTTCTTACTGTGGTCTTTACTTCCTCTGATTTTAGGGATTTCATGGGTCAACTTCAATTTCAAGACAGTCATTTTGCCACTGTTACTTTACAATTCTACTTGCTCTAATTCCATTAGAACAGGCTTTGCATATATTAAATGGTGATATATATAGAGGCATGATTCCTGATTCATTCAACTAATAGTTATTGAACATTTGCTACATGTCATAGTTGAGGACCGCTGCCTCAAACTCTTATGTTCAGAGCACTGATACTTATCAATCAATGTTGAAAGAATTACATTATTGGTATCATACATCTTCTCCATCTCAATTCTTTTTGCTCCATTCAATATTGTATAATAAAGATATTTGAAACCACTGTTCAACCTGCTTTTATCTTAACATTCTTTTATTTCTAAAGTATTCTTTTAAGTTTATAAAATACACACCTCTGCTGCTATGCAAACAGAAACATGAACAAAGCAGGTGAATCTCTGCTCATTTGGATCTGGCATCATGATGTTGAGACTCAGCATGGTGTAGGAAATGAGTGTGTGTGTGATGCAGTGTGCTCAGGGAGCAGCCACTGGTAGGACTCTAATTAGTGTAAAAGGGAGAATTGTCATTGCTCGGCAGAGTTTGTAGAATTTATTCTGGAGAGGCATTTTAGCCAAAAGCACATGCAAGATGTGAATGTGCTCATTGGATTTGTCCAAAGAGTTCAAAATTGAAAACAGGGTAACAACAAAGGAAATACCTCACACAAGGAACTGGAGAAACTACACTGTGTCATCTTCTCTTGTCCATAGAAAACAATTGTTATTTTTCTTGCTGCATATGGTTGGTTATTTACAACGAGAAAGAGCAATTAGTTTTCTCAGTGGAATCTGAAAGTTTATATCGCAGATGTAGAGAGTAGAATATTGGTTAACAGGGACAAGTAATGAGAGAGGGAGCAAGATCAGGCAGAAGTTGTTCAATGGGTACAAAGTTACAGTCAGATATGAGGAATCAGTTTTGCTCTTCTACTGCACAGTAGAGTGACTCTTGTTAACACGAATGAATCACATGTTTTAATGTAACTGGAAGGATGATTTTGAATATGGTCAGCATCAACAAAATGTACAATGTTTGAAGTGATGGATATGAAAATTGTCTTGATTTGATTTGATTTTTACACCAGGTATACATGTAATCAAACTTACATTTCATGCATGTGTAGTTAAAATTATGTTAATTGAAAATGGAGTAATCCATAAAAATTAATTAAGCAAGTCAATGTTGAATGTTAGAGAAAAATCTTTTCTAATATTTCATATAAACACTGCATGGATTTTGTTCATTTTTATATTTTGGGACTATTTCTTTTTTCTTCCCTTGAGGCTTATTTACTTCCTTCATACGATGTTCTCTCTTTGTAGTAGTGCTCAAAAGTATCATTACTTTTGTCTTTTGAGAAATTTGTTTTTATCTTTGGAGGATGTGGTTGGAGTTCAAATGAAGCTAGAAAGGAGGGAAAGAGCTGTGTCTTCCTTTCACCTAATTTAGTTTATACTCTTAAGGAAATTCAGTTTCTCTCTCTCTCTCTCTCTCTCTCTCTCTCTCTCTTATGGAGCAATTTTTGTATTAATTCTTTTTGCTTATGCTGTTCTGGGGACAGATTCCAGCACATAGTTTATGCTTGTTAAGTTCTCTACAACTGAGTTATTGTAGCAGACCTTGTTTTCTTTTTTTCTTACTTTTCTTTAAATGAGGTAGAAAATAGCAGTTGCAAAAAGTAGCCTCAATTCTGAAAGCCTATGGGAAATTTACAATGTGGAATTTCTGAGTCAGCCTCGCTGGCATTTCTCTCATAGTACAGTGGGTGATAGGAAAAACATAATATTAACATGGCCCCATGACACACAGCATGTGACATGTTTTTCCATAGTGACTGAGTTTCTGCCCGTGTGTGTGTGTGTGTGTGTGTGTGTGTGTGTGTCTTCAGGACTGAGAGTAGGGTTAAGAGAAAGGGGACCTGGGCTCAATTTATGCCCAAATGTAACTCATACTAAAAGAGATCAGAACAAAAGGCAACTGGTAGAAATAAAAAGGGAGGTATTGCAATTCAGAAGACACCATTGTAGACAACTCCAAATACAAAATCAGCAGTTTCTTTGTGCCTGTAAGTTTTAGTAGCAACAGTCTCACTTTTCTTCACTACTTTCTGAGACCATCTCTCATCATGTAACAGCTGCCATTTCCCTAGTCACATAGGAAAAAATCTGATAGTGGGACAGGAATTACAAATCATAGATGGCAAAGGGCTACCTTATATAGGAAAATATTCACACATAGAACACATGTTTTGACTACAGACTATTTATGACAGTGCATTGTTCAGTGTAGTATTACATAATTTGGTTATACCTTTTCTCTCTCTCTCTTTTTCATTTAGTTATACTGACTACATGGGGCCAGAAAATAATACACAAATATCAGAATTTATGCTTCTTGGAATTTCACAGGACCCCAGATTGCAGTCTTTCATCTTTGGACTGTTCCTGTCCATGTATCTGGTCACTGTGCTTGGAAACCTGCTCATCATCCTGACCACGATCTCAGATTCCCACCTGCACACACCCATGTACTTCTTCCTCTCCATCCTGTCCTTTGTGGACATCTGCTTCACCTCCACCACCGTCCCAAAGATGCTGGTGAACATCCAGACACAGAGCAAGATCATCAGATATGCAGGTTGCATCACCCAAATGCTTTTTTTCATTCTCTTTTCAGGTTTGGACATCTTTCTGCTGACTGTGATGGCTTATGACCGCTTTGTGGCCATTTGTCACCCACTGCATTACACAGTCATCATGAACCCCCAACTTTGTGTGTTACTGGTTCTGGTGTCCTGGCTGGTGAATGTCGTGCATTCTATCCTACAAAGTTTGATGGTGCTGCAACTTTCCTTCTGTACAGAACTGGAAATCCCACACTTTTTCTGTGAACTTTATCAAGTGATCCACCATGCATGTTCTGACACCTTTCTCAATGAGGTAGTGATATATTTTGCAGCTGTTCTATTGGCTTGCTGTCCATTTGCTGGCATCCTTTACTCTTACTTCAGGATCATTTCCTCCATCTGTGCAATCTCATCACCTCAGGGTAAGTACAAAGCATTTTCCACCTGTGCATCTCACCTCTCTGTTGTTTCCTTATATTATTGCACGGGTCTAGGTGTGTACCTTAGTTCTTCAATGGAAAAATCGCATTCAACTGCAAGAGCCTCAGTGATGTACAGTGTTGTCACCCCCATGCTCAACCCCTTCATCTACACTCTGAGGAATAAGGATATCAAGAGGGCTCTGAAAAGACTCTTTCAGATAAAAATAATAAAAGGACCAGTTGTGCTGAGACTAAAGAAAGATCCTTGATAGGACTCAAAGCCTCTGAGTCAGTCATACGAGTCTTTTATCCTGTGACAGGAGTAGAAATTGTTACTTTTACTTTATTCTTGATGCTTCTCTTACTCTGATCATCTTTGTTATGAGATTCAAATACAAAATTTACCTTATGACACCTTCTGTTCTTGGTGACATCTACTCTTTTCCATGTTATTGTTTTTCATCTTTCCCAAAGCTTTTCCAACTTTGAATCACTTGGGTACTCTATTTTCTCCAATAGGACAGATTTTGGGCAACTATTTCTTTTCAAGAGACATGTATCACACCAAATAATTATTATTTTGTTTTACTAAATAGTAGTATGTTTTACACATTTTGGGGTGGAGAATGTATTTGGAGACTTAGGTCATTTGGAAGATCTCATTTTGTAAGAAAACCTTAGACTACACTATTTTGTTTGCATTTTATCATTTGTTCTATTATTTAATTAACAGCTCTAACCACTTTAAGAAAGAAAAGGTTTATTTATTTCATGGTTTTATTGGTTCCAGTCCATGCTCAGTCTCCTCCATTGTTTCTGGGCTGTAGTGAGGCAGAACATCACAAAAGTTTGGGTAGAACAAAGAAATTCATGTTATGGTGACCATCAAGCAAGATGAAAATGTAAGGGACAGGGGACAAGATACATATGTGCAGTGCATGCCCTCATTGGCCTATTTCCTCCAATCAGAACTCATGTCATACTTTCTGCCACCTCCCCAAAATGACAACAGATTAGGAATCCATTAAGGGCTTAATACATTGATTAGTTGATATCCAACCACTTTAAAAAAGCCAGTCAACCAAAAGTCAGGTGTACAAACCATGAGACTGTGGAAAACAATTCATCTTCAAGCCATAATAATTTATTTTGCTTAAAATTAGCATACTTTCTTTTGTCAAAGGAAGTAAATATAAATGAATGCAAGGTCTGTTTTAATGTCATTCTGCACGTGGTGGGACCTCATAAGTACAGGGAAATCTGTGATTAACCTCCTTTTTTAAATTTATGTGAATAAATTGAATAACAAAACAGAATTGGAGAAAATTAAATGTTAATGCCCTATCTTACTTTGTTAAGATCCTGTATTCAGAGGAGATTCTGAGGGAGACAGTGATCAGAAGGGAATTAGTTCTCAGGGAACATCTGCTTCCTCACAAACAGAAATTCCATAGTTTTCTGATCTGAGTTCCTGAAGCTTACCTGTTGTGACAGGTTCTTCAATAACATCTTGGTGTATTCTTTGACCATTGTTGTAGCTGTTTTACCTCTTCCTGGGATGGACTTTTCATATTATAGGATTTTGTCCTTCATCCTCAGAATTTCGCCAGCCTGGGGGATGTACAAATCCTTTTCCATTTGGAGGTTTCTCCTTTTGTCAGTCTCCTTGTTCTATGGCATTGTCTCTGTTGTCAGCTTTCCATTGCTGTAACAAAATACCTGAGAAAATGAGCTTATAAGTAGAGGAGGTTTATCTTGTCTTACAACTTGATGGTTCTAGTCTGTGATGAGTATTTCTGTGGGTAAGCAGTACAACATGAGTGGGGGAGGAGGGCATGTAGTAGGGAAAACTGCCTGTCTCATGGGCCATAAAGATCAAAATTCAATTAGATCCTCGTGTTTCAATGTCCCATTCAAACACATGTCCTCAATGACCTAAATCTTCCTCTAGGTCCAATATTTCAAAGGTTCTACCACTACCTAATATTGCTGAGCTGGGCACAAAACATTTGTTATATGGGGGTGTCACAAATATATTTAAGAGCCTAAATTTGACAATGACCTTGAGGTCTTCCTCAGTTCTGCAGTCATTCTGTCCTGTAGGAGAATTGGATGGCCTCAGTGACGTGCACTCTGCTCACCTCCATGATAAACCCATTCATCTACAGACAGGGTGGGAACATGCAAAGGTCCTGAAGAGACTCCTGGGCAAGTTTGTATCTCTCAGACATGGTTCCATTGCAGGAACCTCATTTCTAGCAAGGTGCACAGACTTGAGGATGAGAGACACTGGTCTAGTCTAATATTTTTACTTCTGCTTTTATGTATTTTAAAGCAAGTTTTATTGGTTCTGCCTTTATGTTCTTCCTGCCACAGCTCCTGTTCATACTGTTACATATTAGGTCACATTTTCACTTTTTAACAACAACCCATTTTACCTTTGTATGTATAGAAGCTGGCTCATTATTTGGTTATCAACAGTAATAATTTGTCTCCAGTTTATTAAATATGTGAAATCTTACATATTTAACATACATCCTCTGAAGGTTTACCATGTCGATCATGTTTGGAATTTTACTCAGACAGATCTGAGATGATGTGAATGAAATCAACTCAAGACTCTTCCACATTTTATTTGATTCACTATCCCTTCATTCTACTCACTTTACTGAGCATATCTAATCACACCATTTGAGAATAGTTTCTTATTCTTGTTTGCAGCCATTACATGTTGTAGAGGGCTGGGTTAGGATTTTGTTCAGAATTTTTACCAAATGGATCAAAAAATTAGACTGTGATAGTTGAATCTGGAGTATTATTCAGAAAAGTACGTGTGCACAGTTCAAAAAATGGCTGTGGTGTAGAAAAGAATTCTGATAAGGAGCTGAGGGAATATCCCAAATGGTAGCATTCTTGCATGCATGATAAAATGGTTTTAATCCCCAGTACTGTGAAGGATTCTTTATGCAAGGTATGGTGGCACATGCATGTACTCCTGTGTAGGAGTCAGAGAAGGGAAGATTTCAGTTTGAGGTCAACCTGAGCAAAAAATATAGCAATATTCAATTTCAAGCCAGGCATGGTGGTTCATGGCTAAAACCCCAGCTATGTGGGAGGAAGAGGTAGGAAGATCATGGTCTTGAAGGGAAAAGTTCTGGGATCATAGCTCAAGTGGTAGAGTGCTTACCTAGTAAGCATATTGACCTGAGATGAAAACCCCAGTAACATCCAAAGAGTATTCAAGGTCACAGTCATTGATTTTGATAAGACTAGGAAAAACAAATATGCAGTCACAAATTATCCAAGTACTCCCATGCTTATTGCAACACTATCTAGATCCCATCTAGATTCCCATGGATGGATGAATGAAAAAGGAAAAGTGATATTTATGCACAATGAAATTCTATTCAGCCATAAAGAAGAATGAAATCCTGACATTTCCAGCAACAAGATATAACTGGCCATTAGGGTATGTGAAGTAAGCCAGACACAGACATTAAACCATTTCACATACATTTTCTCATACAGTGTTTCTAATAACTTTTATTTGTTGAGACTGGAGTTTGAATTCAGGATTTTGGGGTCACAAAGCAGGTACTCTCCAGATTGAGCCACACCTCAAGTTCATTTTGCTCTGGTTATTTTGGAGATGGGGTCTCCTGAAATATTTTTCTAGGCTGGCCTCCCAATCTCAGACTCCCAAGTAGCTAGGGTTACAGGTGTGAGCTACTGGGGCCCAGCTCCTAGCAACTCTTTTATGAGGGAATAAGAGATTATGGTAACTCGGCAACTAGTTTGAGGTCACGGATATAATAAAGAGGTTCAAACCCAAGGCTGTCACCCTCCTGCTGTTCTTTTAGGCTTGGTGTTATTTTTATGCAAGCTTTATGAAATGATGGCTAAAACTGAAAAGAAATATCACCTTCTGTTATCAACTCCTGATTCTGGAATTCTTCCTAACAAAAGTCTCTGGATGTTGGAGACTTACAAGTAAGGTAAATGCCAAAGTAATATTCCATAAGATTTCCTTAATATTTTGATTTTAATTTCTTTGTATATTTATGAAATAAGCATATTTTCATATTTATGATTCATTCATATTTAGTCCCATAGTACTGGTTCACATGCTTGGATCACGTTCTTATGTGTTCTCATTCTAATTGTTTTCAAATAGTTTGTGTATATCTGTTTTGTTGCTTGACATTTAATTTGACTTAATTTTAAAACTAAATGTTATTGTATATATTTGAGGTAGAGTGCCTGCCTAGCCAGAGGAAGGGCCTGATTTCAAATTCCTGTGTTACCAAAAAAAGAAATGGGTCACACGCTAAGTGGAGAACAAGCACTAGAGAAATAGGGAAAGGAAAGGAAACCTAAAACTTGAATGTGGTCGATGTACTTCCTGTTGAGGAGTGAACAAAATACTCTTGGAATTGCACAGACCACTATGGGAAGGAGACCAAGAAGTAGTGAAGAGGTCAGGTAGAAATGAACCAATGTGGATTGCAATACACAAGTGCACAGAAGCAACACTAGGAATCTTTCTGTATAGCTATCTTTATTCCAAACTAGCAAAAATGCTATGTCTTTCTTATTATCTCTATGTTTTCTCTTCAACAAAATTGGAGAAGAAGAGGACAGAACCGGATCTGCCTGGAAGCAGGGGCTTGGGGGTTGGATTGGAGGTGGGAGGGAGGTGCACAAACAATGTATACACATGAAATAAATGTAAAATGATAAAATAAAAGGAGAAAGAAAATATCTTGGCCATGAAGAAAAAAAAATGTCTGCAGAGTTACATTACTTTTATGATGTCATAAAGGGAAGTTCTTTCCCTTTCTTTTTCAGCTTCTTTACACTTCCAGCATTCCTTGGATTTTGGCCGCTTCCATCATATTGCATTATTGCTTCATATTGCACTATTTTAACACTGATTTTCCACATTCTTCCTCCACATTTTAGGGTTTTTGTGTTTACTTTGGCTCACCCTCATCATGCAGGTGAATGTCCCTGTCTGTGGGTAGTTTATTAGAAACTTAAATATCAACTACTAAATTTTATCCTTTCAATATGACTAACTTATACATAGGCTCTGTCAAGTTGAGTCATGGTTCCATCTAACACTTCATTTGTCCTGACTGTGGTCAAAGGGATGGCAGCCAAATTATGCTAAGTGAAATTTCCTAGAAGACATGTATTATTTTAATTGACAAAATTTGCACTTAGAAAAATAATATTTAACACAGTAAGAGAAGCACTAAAATATACA